TAAACATAAACTAAAAAAATTTCACATGTAGGTCAATTAGAAAACTCTTGAAATCATCCAAAACATAAATCCTATTTTATTTCATAAAACCTAAGTCATCCGAAACAAACCTTGATTTTGCAAAGCTCTTACAAAGTCAAATCAACTCCAAATCATCCAAAATTAATGCCTATAGAAATCCTATCTAATCTTCTATAAAATTCTACTCTCCGATCTGCCAAAGAGTTTTGGAGTCGTCGTCCACACTTGGATTTGTGCCTCAAGGTCTGATTTCGACATTGATTCATAACCGGCCCTCTCCGTGTATCAACATCTAGTTTTTTTGACTAATTTTTACTAGAATTTACTTTGAACTTCCTCCTAAAGATGTCTATATCATTTATTTTTCCAATCTATCTTGTTTTGTTTTATTTTTGGCCCTAAAAAGTAAGTAGAAGCTATTTTTTCTAAAAGGGCAACATTACTACTAAAAGTTTTACTACCTTCCTATCTTTTATCCATATTTTTGTACTTTTTCTTTTAACTTGGCTCTTCTATAATAAGATCCATATTATCATCTTTCACCATATAGTTGTGTTACAACATGACAACGTCGCCACATAGTCCCTACTTAGATAGTATATATGGAGACAAGAGTGAAGCCTTCTTCACTCTTGTCAACTCCTTTCTTGCTTCCAGTCTAGTTTCAAGGGTCTCTAGTTTTCTTGTCTTTTGAAAATAGCCATTCTAGTTTCTCTTTCAATATACATACTTGTTTATTTATATTTTGTTACTTTTCTTTGAGTGAAGGCTCACTTGTGTGAATTGCTTTTTCATCGAGTTCTTGTCCTTGATACTATCATCAAGATGATTAGACAACTCTTTTGCCATTGGCAGAGTTTGTATGTAATAATTCAGTACATTCTTCTAATTAATAAATACCTTTCTTTACTAATTATGGTTATCATCTATGACTTGATATTTTGGACTTTTCAAAAGTTGATAATCCTGTGGTGGTAGATTTAGCAAATTATTTGTCAGAGCTACATGCAACAATGAAGATATAATTAAAAGAAGCTCAAAGATGGCTAAAGACGAATGTAGATGCCTATCACAAGGAGCAACTACAATTCAACATAAGTGACAAAGTATGGTTACTTCGTGACATTATCAAGACTACTCGTCCTTGTGATAAGTTGGACTATCATAGGCTATGACCTTTTTCTATTTGTGAACAAATCAATCATGTTGCTTATCGATTACATCTACAAAAGTCTATGAAGATCCACCTTGTATTTCACATGTCTCTTCTTGAACCTTGTAAAATAATGAATATTTTGGAAAGAAGACAAATGCCACCTCTTCCTATAAAAATAGATAATAATAAAAAATTTGAGGCGAAAGAAATCTTAGATTCAAGGCAATGCCAAAATAGGTTGAAATATCTTGTTTATTGGCATTGATATGATCTTAGTGAATGCACATGAGAGCCAACAAAGAATCTTAGAAATGCAATAAAGAAGATTCAGGCCTTTCATCAATGACATTCATCAAAACCAAGATAATGAATTGCAAAGATCCATGAAAGATGATGACCGCTCCTTATGGAATTCGTCCCTAGAAGAAGAGATAATATCACGGAGATATACATTTATGTCAATAGTTACTTATATGGTTAAGTAGAAGTAGGTAAATATATATTAATTTCATAAAGTTTTCTAGCGAAGCTTTCTAAAAGCTTCATAGACGCAGTTTTGACTTTTGATGTGTTTGTAGGTTAGAAACTTGGCCAACAAGCTAACCTAGTATTGGTAACTTGTAGAACAAGTTAACTCCATGTAGTAGCTTCTGAAATAAGCTAACTATGTGGTGCATACATAGATAACTTGCATTGTAAATTACAACATGTAGTTAGCAAAGTTTACATGTTTTAGAGGTCTTATAGGACATCGCCATGTAGCTTCTAGTTATAAGTATATAAGGAGGCAAGAGTGAAGCCTTCTTCACTCTTGTCAATGCTTTTTTAATCCTCAGTCTTGTTTCAAGACTTTTTAGTCTTCTTATTTTTTGGCAATAGCCATTCTAGTTTAATATTACATCACCTTTTGAGTGACTTTCTAGTTCTCTTCACTTACATAAGAGTGTATAGAGGATTTTCTTCCTTCGAGATTCATGTCCTTGATACATGTTGAATGTAGATTCAAAGTTATAGTAATATATATTCTTATTATTTATACACATTCATATATCAAGTATGATAAGACATACTGCCTATTTAATTCCAAGATCACTTGTATTTCGAAAATATATTTTTATCCTAAAAGCTAATAAAAAATTGAATTATCTTTGGTATAAAAATATTTCATAAAATATGTATTATTTACTTTTGTGGAGAATTCACTAATTCTACTGCAAATGCTTCTAAAGATACAAAGTATAAATTAAATTTTGAAACATAGTAGTACAACTTTGTATACAAAAAATATACTTCTTTGTAATTAAATTCATCTAAAATTAAGTATTTAATTTGTAAAATGGAATGCTTACTTATAACTTATTTTGTTAGATTAGTTGAAAAACCACAATAATTATGTATAATACTAAAACAAAGAAAAAAAATATATCAAAAATTCTATCTTATCATTTAAAAAATTATTATTATTATTATGTAATATTTTTAAATTTAATATATAATATAACATATATTTTACATAAAAATTTTAATAAATTTTTTTTTTCTTGTTGAGTTTTATGTAAAATTTATGCTCAAGGTATTTTATAATATTTTTGATTATGCATATATTTGATATGTTTTTAAATCAAATTTTCTAATTTTTTAAAAAATAAATTATTAAAAATATTAGATTATTGAAAAAATATGCAAGTTAGTTTAAATTTTAACATCAATAAGATAAAAATTTAATAAACTTAAAAAAATATTATATTTTCTTTCAATACCATTGATTAAAATTAATGAAGTAAAAATGTCTTCAATGAATTTTTTTCCTTTATCAAATTTATGTATCAGATACTTATTTTATTCTCAATATTTTTTATTACACTCTTCTAGCTTTAAGTAATTTTTTTTGTGTCTTCTTCTATGCTTGATTCATTGTCTTGTATATCAAATAGATCATCTATATCAATTTAAGATTAAGTGTAATTATTATGTAATATCATATTACATAAAATATAACATATTTTTATTAATATATAACATGTATCTAATTTTTTTTTTTAATTTTTTAGTTGGACTTATAAGCCTTCTAAATTTTAAGATTATCCATTTTGTACACTAATAAATTGTTTGATTTTAACTTCTTTAAATGCATGAAACAATATTGAAAGTAGCATATTCTAACTTTTAGGATTACAAATACTTGTATACTTTAATAGTAATTTTAAAAAATAAAAAAGTATTATATATATATGTAAATACTTATTTTTATAATGTATTATAAATTATTTATTTATTATTTATAATTTATAAACTCCTTATTTATAATTTATAATTTATATATGTCAAGGACTTAAATCACAAATATAAATACCTCAATACACTCTTGTATTATTAGAAAAGAGTAGATACTCACTCAAAAATAGTATGGTATTAAAGTAAAATAACTATTGCCAAAGACAATAAGACTTAAGGTTCTTGAAATAAGATTAAGAACCAAAAAGACATTGATAAGGATGAAAAAGACATTACTCTTGCTTTCATATAAACTTATTAATTAAGAACTATGTGGCAACATTCTTTAGAATCTTAAGCATGTTTCAAACTTGTAAGACAAGTTTTCTACATGTATGCCACATGACCAACTTGTACTAGAAGTCATGAAGATGTGTGACATGTAGTCAACTCATTGATTTAGTTTTCAACCTATCAATCACCTACAAACAAGTAAAAAAATCAAATCAATGTCTATAAAGTTTTTTTACAAGATATTATCAAGTTTATTTACTTCTACTTACTTCTATCTAATTCCTCCTATCTATATCTATATATATATATCTACCTATAACTATATATTATAATTATATTATATGTAGATAGTAGTTTAGCTATTTAAAGTATATATCTTATTTACATCATTTCCAACACAATTTATAGTTGGTAAATTATAAATCACAACATTACTAATGTTGACTAATTTATGAATTGTTAGCATTTCTATAAGTGATTAGTGTTAATGCCAAAAAAATCTTATAGTCTAAAAATTAAAACAACTTTTAAGTTTAAATAAAATTGTTGAAGAATATGGAAGCTTTACTATGCATCAACATATTATATTAGTGATTTGAAATATCTTAGACGTAGATTAATCTCTATACATAATCAAACAATTATATAGATAATTTTATTATATTTAGGCTTGTAATGAAAAAATAATATTTTATTTTAATTACTACTAAGATATAATATAATTTAATAAATTTATTTTATTTTAAATTTGGTGACACCTTATTTTTTTATAATTTTTTTTAGTAAAAAGAAAATCAATTATCAATAACAATGAGTATTTTTATAATATTTAATAGGCTCAAATATTAGATTCTTATTATTTTGTGAAAATCAGTTGTTAACTATTCCTACATATTGAAATGACCACATTATTTTATTTAATCAATACGTGTCTATGTTCAAATATGTCACAACTACTAATTACTACAAACTATATATCAATTATCCCTACACACCAAAACAACCTTCTAACTAACAAGGTTATTTATCACATTAAACAAAATTTTTTCTATCACTCTACACATGTAATAAAAAACTTAGTTGAATCAATTTTCGACCATAAAAGAATTTCCAATACAAGTTTATAGACTACGACAAATTTTTTGTAAACAACAACAAAACAATACAAAGATATTTTGGGAACGAAGGCCATCGGCCGTCTGAGGAACCGACGAACAGAATCAAATTTCGTCCACCGACCTGTTCCTCCGTCCGTTCCAGGGAAGCCGATCCAAGGCTTTGCTCGGATAGGGCGACTGGGGATGTATACGTCCACTGGACGCCTTCAATCGCCAGTGTAATGGCGAGCCTCATGGCGCCGAATCTGTGATCGTTGCGTCGCGTTTTCGGCACGGAAATGGTGCTCGGAGATGCGTTTCTAATCCCCGTGGTGGTAGTTTGGGTGTAGCAGTACTTTGCTTGTGAAGCTGATCGGTGTCTTGAGCTCATCGTTCATCGCCATGGTCTTCTGAACTCTGCAATTGGCTCATTGCTTCTGGTTTTCCATACTCGATTGCTCATTGAAGACTTCATAGCCCATTTTGATGATTGTCTTGGATGATTCGTGAAGCTGGTGGAAGGGCTTCGTGACATACAGGGCCAGGTTCCTGAGCTGCTAATACTCGTTACCTTGCTGCTGGATTGTTTTCGCTGCTTTGTATGTTTGTGGAATTGGGTTGTGCCAGGGTAGCTGATTTCCATGGCAGTTTTCTTTGCCCCCAGAAGTTGAGAATCCATGTGTGGATTGATTGCTCATCTGGGCACTTGTTGCATGGAGTTTTTCGGTAATGGAGGAATGATTCCTGGGTTTGGAAATCGTCTTGAGGGCCTTGGAAATTCACCTTCACTAATTGGCGTTGTACAGCAGGAGTAGGACGAAAGAGTTTCGATTTCAATGTCCGCCGCCAGCTTGTTCTGCAATCTTGCTTCATCATCAGTCGACATCACTCTACTCGACTGCAGGCCCAAAGCATCGTGGGCTGTGAAGAGTAGGAGTTTTTTCTCATCTCTGGGTCGTCGTTCCCAGGGGTTTCTGCCGAAACTTTCTGTGAGTATCAAGAAGGCTGCAAGTGGACGTAGCAGTTCCACGGTTATCAAAAACTCCGGAATGGATCCCGAGAGTGAAATTGACAGGTTTTCTCTCGTTTTCACATTGTTCTTTTCTTAATTTCAATGTCGACAGCATTATATGCTTCCTGATTTCTAACGTCCGGTTATTTTCTTTTTTTCAGGCGGTTTACTGGCCGAGTGTTGGCACCAGCTCCTGGAGACTCAGATTGGTGGGATAAGAAGCTACTGTCAGGTGCAGTAGTTGTTCCAGAAATCGGAAAATCAGGATACCGCATGTATTATTATGGACGGGGCGGTGATGAGTGGGCTAAGGGGGTGCAGCCCTTCAATGCCTCCTTGCCAACGGGAAGAAATGGCATGGCCGTCAGCGAGGATGGGCTTCAGTTTGAGCGCTACATGGGTCATCTTAGCGGGGGCGCCATAATGGACCCTTCGCCAGATTATGCCGCGTTCGATGCAGTGCACATCGGGGTTAGTGACGTCCTTTACGACCAGGCTGAGGATGTCTGGCGGATGTTCTACTTCGGCGGTGGTTACGAGGAGTCTACCCTTCTGGGATTAAACCCAGACAAACTGTTTAGGTGCGTATCTTGCAGAGGTCTGCAGTTGTTGAACGTGCCATCCAACAAAAGAGCGCGAGGCTTATTTGTAACGTGCTTGTCTGTATAACTTTACCTTATCAGGCATGAGATAGCTCGTTTACATGAAACAAAGTGGGAAGCTTCTGCTACCTGCTGCTTAGCGATAAAACTGAAATGTGTCTCAACGTTTTCTATGTAATTTATTCTTCAGAGGGGTGAAGTTGCGACCTGGGGTGGCTGCTTCAAAGGATGGTCTTTCATTTGATGATAGGGAGGGTCCTATCCTTGAGCTGGGAGAGAAAGGCGCCTGGGATGAGAATGGGGTGTCGTGGCCTAGAGTGTTGCCTCCTGAGGGTAATTCACTAACTCATCTTTGTGACGCTGTGGTGACTTGAGCAACCATTTTTTTGGGTTCTTTAGAAGGAGTTCCACCTTTATCACACGTTAGAATGCAGCCGCCTTGTAGGCTACAGCGTGACGCCTTGGTATTGTTATGTACACCCAGAAAATGGGGATGAAAAGGACAAGGGGAAGAGCAACTGGTTGATGACATATCACACACGACAGTCGGGTGGTCCGAATAATTTCGGATTCTTCTCAGCTGGAGTGGCAACGTCGGCAGATGGGAAGCGTTGGCATAAGCACAGCAAAATATTGTCGGCGGGGGACCCAGGTGCATGGGATGAGGGAGGTGTGTCCGTTCGCCATGTGCTACGAGTGAATGACAAGTATGTAATGTTTTATGAAGGCTCAAATTATAAGTTCCAATTCGCAATTGGCTTGGCAACTTCAGATGATGGCCTGGTTTGGGAAAAAGACTTTCAAGTCGGACCGGAGCCTGGAGGCCCTATATTGAAAGCTCGCGTCGGCGAGAATGTGTGGGATAATGTTATTGTTGGAACTCCATATGTTGTGGCCTTGAGCGACGGGAGCTTCCGTTTGTATTATCTGGGAGTCGGCAAAATGGTAGGCGACGAAGCATCGAAGCAAGGGATTGGGCTGGCAGTTAGCGACGGCCCAAATTACAGGTCGTGGCGAAGGTTCAACGAGTGAACAAAGTCTTCAACGTTGCCCCTTCTTCATTTTCTCCTCTTGTATGTGTAGATTGTGTAAAAGATGGAAGTAATAGTGTGAAGTGAAGTTGTGGCTTTCTCCTTCTTTTCAAGTTTTTGGAAAGGAGACTGGGGATGTGGAAATTAGGATCCCTTACCAATACATGGAGGAAATCAAACAGTGCACAGAAGTTGATTGTAGTTAAATTGATTGGTGACGTTTGAAGAAGATGAGCTGTGAATTTAACACCCACGTCGACGACATTGGCCAGGTACCTGATTTGAATGGTTTTCTCAACTAAAAGTACGATTCGTTTACTTGTGCTAGGATTGAGTCGATCGCTCTTGCTTCAGATTACCTCACTCGTATCAGACTGATCTTAAGATCGATCCATATCCATCTCACATGCTTCATCCTTATATTGTCTGATATCATTTGGCATATTCAAACGCGACCCTTCTCGTCCAGCACATGTGACATTCTCCTGTGCACTTTCTCTCTTCCTCCGCCAAGTTCACTCTGCAAACAATATGTCTGCCTTGATACTGTATTCTCCAAACACATACTGTGACCCTCTAACGCCTATCTTTCAGAAGTTAACCTGTTCACGTTTTCCAATGGATGTTCTGTTGGGCCAATTCTACCACTAAAATCGAAGTGTGAATGGTGAACTTTCTAGCCCCATGAACAATCGGCAGCGAGTTTTCTCTGATGAGATTATTTGTACCCTTAAGTTCTGTCTTGACAATCCGTCACAAGCATCAACTACAAAATGCCACACAAGACAACCTTGTTAGAGCTAAAATACTGGCTCAATATCAAACATTCAAGGCATTGGAGGAGCTTTATGGAAAGAATGTCAAGAGTATATTACAACATGGGAGGTTTTGCTAAAAAAAAGACATGTTGAACTAAAACCAATGTGCAAATTAATACAAGAAAATTGAAAATGTTGTGAAGGTGTTTGACTCTGTGTTGACATGCAACAATAATCAATTAGAGTGTGCTACTTAAAGACAACATGATGTAGTGTTTTTTTATGTTGCAACCTATGATGAAGTGGAAGATGATGAAAAATATTTATATAAAAGGTTAATTCTTGAAAGTGAAGAATATTTTCAAGAATATGGATTGACATATCATTTATTGCAAAGATTAAAGACTTGAGTTGCATGGAAGATGGAGAATTGGATGCTCTAAAACTATCATCAAACATGAAAAGTCATAAAATTATGAATTATATAAATGAAGGATGTTTTGGAAAAGTTTACAAGTCAAAGTGGTTGGAACTTGTTTGTACAATTAAAAAGATGAATGTTAAGTATCATAAGTTATTTATTAAAGAGATGAACAAATTTTTAGCAAGTTTAAGACATCCCAACTTGATAAAATATTTTTTTTGCAATAAGAAGTAATGCAAATAAAAGTAGAGAATGTTAGCAATAAAAAACAAAAGAATAAAAAAATAATACTTAAAGATGGAATTGAAGGAAATAAGTTTAAATAAGATAGTTAAAAAAATAAAGAGATATTTTACATATATATTTATAATTTTTTTAATTTTTAATAAATATTATATACCAAATTGCAAGAAGGATGTATTACTCCCATGACATGCACATTGCACATTACAATTTGAAGGTTAACAATATTTTACTTAATATAAAAGAGTAGAAAATCTCAAATAAAACTATTTAACATGCTATTCTGAAAGTGATGGACTTTGAGACGTCTAAGATTGAAGTTGGAAGCGATCCAAAAGGTAAAAAGAATTAGTACATATATGAAAGTACAAACTACATAGCTTCTAAGGTATTGAAGGATAAATTTTAAATAATGAGAATGTGTCTTTTTGAAGCAAATGTTTATTTATTTGCAATGGTATGTTGTAAGATACTCTCTAATAAATATCCATTTTTATGATGCATATGAGATAAAATATATATATATATATATATATATATATATATATATATATAAATAAATAGAAAATGGTGAAAGACCAAGATTAGCTTTAAATTGTGATAAAATGACTAATCTCTTCAAAGAATGTTTGAGGTTCAATCTTTTGACGTGGCCAAAGTTTGCAAATATTTATAGCAAATTGATTGTGTTAAAGAAGAAGTTTGTAATTGAAATAATTCAAGAAAAGACACCATATTTTGGTGCATCAAAAGACAAGAGTCATCAAAATATAGAATTATAGCAACCACATAATAGACTACTATTGATAAGCCTTATACCAAAGTTGATAGTATATTCATATCAAATTGAGCAAATTGATTTGATTGTTTTATTTTTATACATACTTATATATGATGGTGATAGTTAGATGTTTAATTATAAGTTTTTATTTGTAAAATTAGATTGAAATATAATATGTATACATATATATTTTTTATATATATATTTTTATTTTTATTCATTTTATTTTATTAATAGATGATTTATTTTTTCATATTAGGTTTATAAAGTAGATAAAAAAGGTTTTGGTAGAAACTTATTGAAAATAATACATTTATATGCAAGACTTATTGAAAATAACACATTTATATGCAAATGAAGTAAAGATATTGTTAGTTATTAAAATGAGTACAATATGCAAGACCATAATAGCAAAGGGCACATTGAATTGTATGAAGCAGATATATGATGTCTCATATTATGTTGACTATATTGAAAGTAGTGGTGATTCTTATAACACATCTTACAAAATTTTAGAAAAATTGAAGTTATAAAAAATCAAAGGATTTGAAAGATGCTCAAGAAATGTTGAAATTACTATTGACCAAAAAAAATTATTTCAGTCTTTGAAATTGTGAAGAACCAAATACAAATTGAAGATGTTGTCTCAATAGATGATTTATTTGCTAGCAATGGTAGGTAATTGATTATGACTACTTAAGATTGGAAAGCTATGGAGCATTGTGCTATAGAAATTTATAAAGTGAATTTTAAAGAATTTGATGAAGAAATAAGTTTAAGGTTTTTTATCACTTGTTATTATAAATATCAAGATAAGATGATTTATAAAATTACTAAAGTTGATAAAAATATTGTTAAAGCTTATAATATTCTATTATTAAGTTTGAAAGTTATGAATGCATTTTTAAGAGAAAAAAAGAAATTGATATGTTAGGAGCGAGCTTACAAAGATTAAAAAGAAAAAGAAAGTTTGATGGAGATAAAAAAAAATAGTAACCATAAGATTTAGGATATATTGAGAGAAAATTTTAATAACTTGAAAGTTAAAGATAATAATATGATTTTAGACATATGTTATTTTTTTTGTAATGGTGAGTATTCATAAGGTATGCTGAAAGAAAGAGCATTGCAAATATCAACTAATAATAAAAAAAATATTTAAAGAAATTATAGAATATATATTTAATATATTGGTGAAGCAATAATTGAAAAAAATAGAAAACAATGGAATTATAAGAATACATAATCATCTACGAGACATGGATAGAAAGATTGCTGAAACAAATACAGAGTATAAGAATACACAAATGTAAAATATGAATATTGAGGCATTCTATGGATATTTACTTGATAGTTATTCATATGGTAGGCATAAAAGTAATAATGATAAAAAGATTCACATTTGAAGTTTGGAAATATAGCATACTAATATTATTTAGATGTTATTATACTATTGAGGTATATATTGATATAAAGTTAATTATTGATTTATTTATTTTGTATTATTATAAAATTTTATATCTACAAGAATTACATTACTTGTAAAAAAAATTTAAACTTGTTTTGCATTGAAATTATATTATTTTATAATTAGAAAGATTATATTATAACAATCTAAATAATATGTCTAGTGATATTAGAAGTGGTTTTATTAGCACTTCAATTATTAAGCTATATTAATAATCTTATATCGAGAGATGATATGAAAAGATGAAGCATATTTTTTGATTTGATAAAAAAATCTCTCAACTTAAAATATTTTTTATTAAATATATTATCTACATATTATATAGAATAAGTATCAAAGACAAGAACTCGATGAAAAAACAATTCAGATAAGTGAGCCTTCACTCAAAGAGAGGTAACAAAATATATATAAACAAATATATATATTGAAAGGGAAACTGGAATGGCTATTGCCAAAAGACAAGAAAATTAAAGACCCTTGAAACAAGACTAGAAGCAAGAAAGGAGTTGACAAGAGTGAAGAAGCCTTCACTCTTGTCTCTATATATACTATCTAACTAGGGGCTACGTGGCGACGTTCTATAGGACCTCCAATATGTGTTGACTTTGTAGGACACATGCCTTGACTTACAAGGCAAGTTTTTCTACGTGTGGGCCATATAATTAGCTTGATCTTCAAGCTAACAACATGTGTGACACATGGCCAACTTGTTGACTACGTTTCTAATCCAAAAAGTCAATTAAAGACACCTATGAAGTCAAAGCAGCGTCTAGGAAGTTTCTAGGAAGCTTCCATATTAAATATTATAGAATTAACTTACTTTTATCTACTTTTACTTACTTCTACCTATTTCTATATGTAATTATTAGCTTACATGATTATGGCCGTGACATTACCCCCCCTTCTAGAAAGGAGTTCCACGAGGAGCGGTCATCATATGTTGAGAAAATCTATGATGCGACGAATTGTATTCGCCACATACTCTGATCTCTGTTCTCTTCGAAGATGATTGATAGGGCCTCTCAACCATCGGTAGTGTCCCATACCAGGGTGGGAAGACCACCTAGTTATTTGATCATTGTTGACGCCTTCGTAACTTCCTTCGAATAGAATATTTGGAATACCATCAGGAGTTGTTCCTACTTCTAGCACAATCACTTAACATCGGGAGTCCCTTCCCAAATCGTGATATCAAACGCATTGTATCTCACCATCTATTTGAGGAAGAACATGTCATTCTTGAAGATCTTCATCTCGATTGCATCGTCTTGAAGGTTGTGACAATCGTAATGTCTCGTCCGGCAGGTCAGCAAATGAAGGCTCTTGAGTTGAATCTACTGATTGTTGGTTCTCCACCTCCTGAGCGCCACTACTACAATGAAGCTACGAATAAGAATTGAAAGTAGAATGTTATCTTGCCTAGATGTTGTTTCTTTTATAAAGAAGGTTTTCATCTTGATTTTGATGGATGTCGTCGATGAAAAGCCTCCATTGCCTTTGCTGCATTTGTAAGATTCTTTATTGGCTCCCATGTACATTCACTAATACCATATCCGTGCCAATGGACAAGATATTCTAATTTATTTCGGCGTCGCCTTGAATCTAAGACTTCTTCTACTTCAAACTCTTCATTATTGTCCATTTCTATAGGAG